ACAGTCCTACCGCGACCGCGGTAGGGCCGCGGCTGGAACGCGGTGAAAGAAAAACGGAAAACGGAATGTTTAAAATGACCGCGGTCGTGCCGCGGTTGGCCCGCGATCGCGGTCGGTCTGGAGAAGCCCAAGAAAATTTAAGGGCTAAAGTATAAATCGTGGGAAACTTATCCTAACCCTATATAAACTCAACAAACTCGCTCAAGTCAAGGTTAAGCTTGTTTTTAGACTCAATTGGAGGCAAGAACAAGTGTGAGAAGATCAAGACACCATTAGAGTTTTTTCATTCCTCTTCTTGTTATCATTATTTTGTGAATTATGAATGATTTTATGGTTTATGTTGTTTTACTATGAGTAGCTAAACATTTAGTCTAGGGTTGATGGAACCAATTGTTAGATGAAGTTTTGACTCAGTTTCTTTATAATCGAGTCGGGTTTATTATATGATTGTTCAACTATTTTTTATATGGTGATTAATTGAATGGGCCATTGATTAATCGTGTCTAATTTTCTTGTGTTGCTTGAGAAAGAATACTAGGTTAGATTGTTGTTGAACAACACCACTTTTGGGTAATTGAAGAGATTCATTACTTGAATTTAAAAGTGGGGTTAGAAATAACAAAACTTTGGTGGGATAATTCAGAGCTGCATAAATTATCAGCTAGAGTAGTTCGAGAGAATGCTCTAGTAAATTATCGTAGTTGATCGAGAGATAATTGCGGTAACCCATAGCTCATAATCCTCATAGAGTATTACGGCGAGATTATAGCAAAAGAGTTAAGAATTAAACTAGCAATTGGGGAAATCAATACCCTAGATCTTTTTACCATTGAATTATCTTTAATTTGGAAATTGTTAGTTTTAATATCCTTTTACTTTAGTGAAACAAATTCCAATATTTATTGATAAAAATCTTGCATCCAAAAAATGTTTGAGCTTGTACTAGCATCACTAAGAGTTGTAATCGATAGGTTAGTTCCCCGAGGATTCAACTCCGGACTTCTAAACCGGATTATATTTGCAACGATCGCTTTGTCTTTTATAAGGCATAGTTGGGCGTGATTAAATTTTGGCGTCGTTGCCGGGGAACTAACGGTGTTATTTATTGCAACTTAGAAGTAGTGCTAGAATTATTAGTTTAGATCAATTTTCTATGGTGTTAAATAATTTTTTCATTGAAATTATCACGTTTGAACTCTTGTGTGATTAAGGTGTATACCTAGAAATTCTTCGAGGACTGGTGAACTGCTTGAAAGACTCTCAAACCCCGAGAAAACATTCAGGGCATTAAACTGTGCTAACAAGAAGAACAAACAATCACAACAAATACACCAACTCGCAACCGAAATGGACAACAGGGAAAACATCAATGTGCCAAACGAAGCAGTGGTGGCACATTTTGTGCCAGAAGCTGCACTTTATGATTGGGCACAGCCAACAGCTGACAACCTGGCCACCGCCATTGCTGTACCCCAAATACAAGCGGAGACATTCCAGATCACCAACAACATGCTGCATCTTCTGCAGAATAAGGGATTGTTCTTCGGGTCACACATTGAAGACCCTCAACAACATCTGGAAAAAAATTGTCGATTTGTGTGACCCAAAGGCAGCCAAATGTGACCCTAGAAGCCATCAAGTTGTTACTGTTCCTGTTCTCTGTGACTGGGGAAGCTCAAACTTGGCTGAAGTCCCAATAAATTCCATTGCCACTTGGGAAGAATTAGTCAAGCAGTTCCTGAACAAGTTTTACCCGCCCAACAAGACTGCAAGACAGATTGATGAGATATTGCAGTACAAGCAGCAGCCCATTGAGACCTTGCAGGAAACTTGGGAAAGATTCAAAGGGATGCTAGTGAAGTGTCCCCACCATGGTATTCCAGACCAGATGCTCGGCCAGAGATTCTACATGGGGTTAGCAAACAATTTAAAAGCTAATGTAGATGCTTCAGCTGGGGGTGTATTCCTGAGCAAGACATTCACAGAGTGTAAAATCCTTCTTGACAAGATGGCCCAGAGTTCAGGGTGGATGACGAGAGGTACGACCCTGTCACCAATAATACATTTAGTTCCTCTTGACCCAAATAATTCACATGCAGAGAACACAGCCACGCTCATGACTCAGATGAGTATACTAGCAAAGAAGATTGATGAGATGGGTACAAAGCAAGTGCATATAGTTGACACAACACATGGAGGACTGTGTACACCTTGCATTAATCAGTTTTATGTGTGTTAATAGAGTGGAGAAGGTGACAACCCAGGGTTAAGAGAGGATATGAATTACGTCAACAATTTTGGGGGTCAGAGGCAAGGAGGACAACAATGGGCACCAACACCCAACCAGCAGTACAGACCGAACATGCCACAACCTGGAGGTATGTGACCCCAAGGCCAAATGGTGCCATATCAGATACAACAGGGCTATCAACAACAGCACCAGTAACAGTTGACATATCAGCCACCTCATCAGCAACAGGACATCAACATGGTAGAAACCAGGGGTATGCTGCAACGACTCATTGGAACAAATGGTAAGATGCAGGAAAAGTTGGCAGTGCATGACTCAGCAATTAAGGGTATTGAAAATCAACTAGGGCAGCTGTCCATGGCCTTAAATAACCGCCCCTAGGGAACATCGCCAGCTGACACGAACATTAACCCCAAGGAGCAAAACCTGAATCAGCTGATGGCAGTAAGTCTCCGAAATAGGAGAGATTTAGACAAGGAGCAAGAAGTTGCTCAATCCAGAAGAGAGACTACACCGGCCACTCCAGTTCTAGTAGAGATAGATGAATCAGCAGAACTCACTGAAGTGGTGGTTGAACAGGCTCAGGTTGATAAGGGTAAGGCTAAAGAAAGTGAACAAGTTGCAGAACAGGTGGTACCTCTATGCCATAAAATTCCAACAAAGAATAGCCAGCAAGCAGTGGACAAATAGTGATGCCTGCACCATTCCCTCAGAGATTGGCAAAACAAAAGAAGAAGATCAATACAGGAAATTCTTGGAGATGCTTCGTCAGATTCAATTGAATATCCCTCTGATGGATGCTTTGAGGGAAATGCCAGGCTATGCAAAGATGATGAAGGGCCTGATGTCACGGAAATTTGACTTTCAAGACCTATCCACAGTAACTCTAACACAGACATGCAGCGCAGTAGTGACAAGACCCATGGCTAAAAAGATGTCTGATCCAGGTAGCTTCATTATTCCGCGCACTATTGGGAGTTATGCTTTTGCAAAAGCATTGTGTGACTTAGGAGCCAACATAAACTTGATGCCTTTGGCAATATATACAAAACTGGGCATTGGCAAAGCTAGACCGACTTCGATACTGTTGCAATTGGCTGACCGCACGGTTAGAAGACCGACGGGGATTCTTGATGATGTGCTAGTACAAGTGGGAAAGTTTGTATTCCCTGCAGACTTTGTTATCCTGGACTGCCAGGTAGATGAGGAGATACCCATCATTCTGGGAGGCCATTCTTAGCCACTGGGAGAGCATTGATTGATTGTGAAACTGAGGAATTAAAAATAAGGTTGAACGATGAAGAAGTAATATTCAACGTTCAACAATCCATGAGGAGACCCAGTGAATATGCAAATTGCTCACTAGTGGAAGCTGTGTATGTGATCCTGTATGAAGACGATGAGACCCTGAATGCCAAAGATCCATTGGGAGCTTGCTTGACAAATTTAGAGGAGATGGATGGTGAAGGGGTTGGCGAGAGTGGGTCATGGCACGTC